CATTACATATTTAGTCCTGCAAGTTGTTTATTTTTCTTCACTTACTATTTTAAACTATCTTTTCATGCCAGTAATTATAGATGATCTTAAAAAAATTCAGTTGGAGTAAAACCTTAGACATGTTTTTCTCATCATCAAAAAGCCCCTGCAGGTGGCTGTGGGAAGCCCACACATTAGCTGCAAGTAAAACGATCCTAATTAAGCCAAGCAAAAATCCAGGTCACCTCTCACTATGTCATCTTCCTGACATGCTCCCATAGCTTAGGCATCCGCTCCTATCAAAGGGACACCCCTAACCCACCCACTTTGTAAGAAGAATCAGTTTAGACAAGGGAACCAACTCAGCGTTGGGACCAACTCTTCCACCTGGAGTGGAAGAGAGTGAACACAGCCCTGGGCAGAACTGGGGCATCCTTCCCATTGTCCTCCCCTTCTCCTTGGACAGGCCCCGGGTTTGTCTTGTTCCTTTTGAGAGTTCCCCCATTAAGTATTGTCTCCTCTAAGTCCCCTTTCTCAGTAAAGTTTTCCTCCCCTGAATTCATCCTCTAACACCTGTCCCTACCGTGTTCTCTTAGGTTCTGGCTTTTCCTGGTCCAGAAGACGGTGTGGAAAATACTGGGGCATGATCATCCAAGGTCAGCCCTCCAGGGCCCGCTCCGTCTCTGAGGCAACCTGAAATCCCTGCCTGCGAACCGGCACCACAGCAGGCAGCAGCTCCGTGATGTCCGCTGCAGAGGTCAGGACTCAGCCTCGGGCGGGCGCGAGTACCGGCAGGTGACAGGACTGCGTAGGAGCAGAGAAGCCAGGGGCCGGGGACCAGCAGGGAGCGATAAGTTGCAAAGATGAATTTCAAACAGATGCTTGTTTACCTTGTAGAACTGAAGGAGCTCTCTCCCCCGCCCGCCCCCCTCCCAGCCACTCCCCAGTGTTCAGAAGCACGGTCCTGTCACCGCTCAGCCCACGAATCCCTGAACTCTTCTCTCTGTACCTCGAATTCACCTCCCTTGTCTCCATTCTACTAAATACTTAAGCGTCTGTTTACACTCCTCAGTCTCTATTGAACGCTGAAGCTGCTTTCCGGGCTTTCGTTTTTGCTTGAACCAAACAAAGAGGCCCGTTGCCTACGTACGGAGGCTTCGCTTTGGGTGCACAGCAAGAACTAACTGCCCGGGCGTTTTGTCTCCAACTTACGCGCCAGGGCCAGAGCGGCCTGTGCAGCGAGAAGTCCGGGTACCAGAGTCCCACCTCAGGGTGGCCTGGCCGTGGAAGGTCGAAGTGAGCGGGGCTGGCGCCTCCTCTTTCCACTCCCACAAGCACCCGCATCCCCTGCCCGCCGGGGAACTCCGCCCCGGACCGGCGCCTTTGAACCCGCGGGCTGGACCCGCGCCGGCCTCTCCGGAGAGCCCGCCCTGCCATCCTCACAGTCCTAAGCCCGGAGCACCGTGGCCGCGGCAGCGATGATGGAGCTGTGGCTCTTGCCCGTCGGGCAGAAGCTGCTGCTCTGGAGCGCGCTGAGCGCCGTCTCGCTGGCGGGCGCCACCCTGATCCTGCACTTCCTGCAGATGGTGGCAAGCTACGCGCGGAAATGGCTGCAGCTCAGGGCTGTCCCCGCGATCGAGGGCGCCTTCCCCGTGGTGGGCCACGCGCTGATGATGAAACCCGACGCGAGAGGTGAGGAGCTCACTCCAGCGGCTCTGTCCTGCCCGAGGGGGTGCGCGGCCGGACCCCGCCTCGCAGGAAGCCTGTGACCACCAGGCTCCTCCCGCAGCCTGAGCCGGGGTCCCGATCACTATAGTTGAGTGCGGGCTGCTGCCAGAGTCAGTCTGTTACATGCCAAGAATGGACTCCTGAGTCTTTCCAGCCCCTTTGACACCTGCGGAATGCGCCCCTGCCCTCTGTAACAACTTCTTCCTCCAGTGTAGTATAGACTCGGTGCTTTCAAACTCCTGTTTTGGCTTCTTTCTTCACCACCTTGTAGATGTCCTATCCCCAAAACTCTGTGTTTTCTTCCTATCGTGGCTGTTAAAGCTTCCAGGATAGAAACTTCCCAGGTCCCAGGGCAACAGCTTAAAACTTAGCACTGCCCACCTGCCTCCCAGTTTAAAGATTCATTTGAGCCCTGGAAGGTCCCCTCCAACAAACACCCACACAAATACACAAGTACATCGTGTGACTTGACCACAACTTACATTTCTTCTTGCCCTTCCTATTTTAATCCTTTCAGGGAATTTACAATAAGTTACAATGGCAGGGACTTGTGGCAAAATGAACCAGCAAATTTTAGTAGCCCCGTTTACCAGACTGCTGTGGGTCTCTGTTGCTGTTTATTCGATTCATCTTGAATTAGATTTATGTTATTTGTTGTTGCTGGAAATGTGACTTGCAGCTAGAAAGCTCCCAGTAGCACTAGGTTATCTGCAATCACTCAAGGAAGGTGAGTTAAACCTTGGCTCTTCATTGAATGAGTGTTTGGGCTGACACACTCAGAGCTGACATCCCCAAATGACTACTGCCGAAAGAGCCAAGAGCAAGATCCCAATTTGCCCTCAGATTAATAAAGAGTAGTTTAACAGGCTGATCATTCACTTCAAAGCGGGAGTGATTATTTCTTCCATTCTGTGTCCCCAAATCAATAGAATGCAGTTTTTCATTTTCATACTAACATGGTAAGACCTCATCAGAATTACCTAAATATTGAACATGTTTTCTGGCAGAAAAATTCAGCTTAACCAACCCAACATCAGTGTGACTCATGTTGCCGGTGATCCCATAAGACATTAGAAATGTGACTATCAAAAATGTACAAAATGAAGACTAATGTAAAAAAAAATTATAAAATAAAAAAAATGTGACTATCACTTTTAAAACCATCTTGGTTCATAATAAAAGCAGGACTAACCTCCCCTTCCACCCTAAAGCTTTAAAGTGTAGAAACACAGCTCCCCAACAGGAAGCAATATATTTAAATCTCATCCTATTCTCTGGGGACATTTTTCTAAGAACTGAATCTCTGGTGGATAACACCTACTTCAGAACAAATTGTGAGTGGGCTTGAGTAAAGTCATTCTCTTTGGAATTATTTTTTGAGTGAAGAGAACGATATACTGTCTTATACAAAATCCATCAGCAACTAATGGATTTTTGCATCAGGAAAACCTTTGATAAGTTTCTAGGCTTGGAAAGTTTTTGAGAAGTTACTTAAGACTCTCTAAATCAGAGATTTTATAAACTTGTAAACTATAGTTGTTTTAGGATTAAATTGAAGGTATGAAGTTTCCAGATCATTGTTGAGAATTTAGTAAGAATAAGTTACTTGTTAGTCAACATTTACTGAGACCTGCGTTGTATTCAGTATGAAACTCGGCAAAGTTATGGCTAGCAGAATGTTCTAAATATTTCTCAGTTCATAGTCATTATACCTCATACCAAGGGCATAGCCTTTCACTTTGTGAAGATGGTTCACATTGTATCACCCCAACTGGAGTATTGCAGTTGGCTTCTCATTGGTCCCTTAAACTCTAATCTCTCCACTGTCTGGCTTATTGTGTTAACACTTGCCTTCCCAAGCTGCTCCCTGCTTTGATACCCTCAACCCACAGCATCAGACACCGGGTATCCTCTGCCAGACCAGACCAAGGCAGACAGTACACAAGCACAAAACTATATTTTGACACTGATGATTTACCCTGGCGACTGTCATAGCAATTTTGACATCTCTTTTGACTAGAAGACTCCTTGAAGCAGTATTGCCTAATACTAACATGGATCATGCTGGAGTCTGGCAACCAGTTTCTACCATTTTTCTAGCTGTGGGACTGGGCAAATTATTTAATTCACGGAGATACTGAGCAATGTCAGTAAGAATAATGCCTTCCATCTATCTGTCATGAGGCAGCTGTCATGCATCTAATATCCTTAGCGCAAGACCTGGCCTATAATAACCTGTGACAGCAAACAAACATGACATAATGAATGTTAGTTTTCTAGGCTATTTACTTGGTATTGGTGGCAAAATTGCAAAAACTTTATTGAAAACTCATTGCTACCTAGTTAGCCCCTTTCTCACTGGACTTTGGGCCCAAGGGGGTTGAAGTGAGGGATAATGAGAGCAGGGGTCGTCTGTGCGCTCAAAGACATTGGCACTGAAGACACTCTGGAAATGTTTAACAGTTTGTTTTTGTATGCCATGCACTTTTGTCCCTGGTGCCCAAATTCCCATGTGCAACGGCTCTGATGAAATCGCAAGTGCATCTCAGTAGCCTCAAAGTGGGGTCGGGGTATGTCCAGATGTGTCATGTGGGCATTGCTTTGCTCAGTAAGAGTCCTGGTACCCACACGCCTATGAGGCCTGCCCTGCCCTCCCCTCCCTACCTGGCCTTTCGAGCTGTGTAGTGAGGACCCCGTTCCCCACTGGACTCAATCCCCCTTTGTCCTCACCTTGTTTGAGGAGCATTAAGACAACCTGTCTAACCTTTGCTAGCTCTCTGCTGAGGCCCGGGCCTGAGTCCTCATCCTTCAGTCACTGGGTACTGTGGTGTGTTTCTAGCAAGCAGGTGGCGTTCACCAGTGGGCAGCTCCTTGATGGACACTTTTGTCCCTGAATGACTTCTCCCAATGCTGCTGCATTTCCCAGCTGGGAACTCCTGGGGATCAGCCCGCAGAGTGCTGGCACCCCAGTCTCTCACAGCCCTTGCATGCTGTTGTGGGGACGATGGTCCCCAGATCCCCATGCCCCGTATGAGGGCAGTCGTGAAGCAGGCTCAGGGTCCTGAGCCCAGGCGCATCAGATCTCGCCCTTTTCCACCCTAGAATCTTCTGATGGTCTATACCTCCCAGGTCTCACACACATTAGTTTTATGATCCTAAAATCAACTCCTGTGCTGTTTATCCTCACCAGAAATATTTAGTTACTCCAAGAGCCTAGAGAAAATTGAATCCCGTGACACTCCAGCACTCCAGCCTCATCTCCCAGTGTGATCCCTCTTAGCCCGTGATTTCTTATCTTGAATTTTCAGATCTCCATCTCTCCACTCTGCTGTTTTTATTGTTTGATTAATAATCTCTTTTCCACGTCCCTTTTTCTGACTATAAAATTCCATGGCAGTTCCCATGTTATCAGTAAGAATCTGTAGCACCTCAGAATTTCAGATTTCAATGACGTTTTCCACAGAAATAGACAATTCTAAAACTAACCCCAGGAAACCAAAGCTCTCTTTTATAGAGAATACTGAAAATTAATAGCTTATTTGTTGTGCTTATGTAATGTGCCATTAATCATCATGATAAATATTTGATAAGCCTTAGCTTAGTTAATTCTCACAAAAACTTTTTATGGCAGCTGCTATTAATATGTTTTAACCCATTTTACATTGAGAAAAATCATTTTGGGGTCTGACTTAGCTTGTCACAGAATTAATGTGCTTCAAGCTCATTGTCTGACATTGTAGTGTCACATATTCTATGTATTGTGACTACTTTGAAATCATATTTTATGTTAATCCTATCTTCATATTTTTTCAACTTTTTAAATCAGTTTACTGAGGTAGCATTGGTTTATCACACTGTATTTTTTGGTCATAGTTTCACATTTCTACAAATGTGTGTTCTTATACCACACACACTACCCATGAAAGCTTTAACCTTAGTCTATTGGGCCCAATACCTGTTTTGCTCCTGTCTTTCATACAGTCCCTACTCTACCCCCACCCCTGCCTCAGTTCTGCAGTGAGATTTCAAGTTTTTTTTTTTCATTTTTATTTTAATTCCCACCTTTTTTTTCTTTTAAAAATTTATTTACTTATCCATACAGAACTGGGGTACAGGCTAGAGGTGCAGGGGCGGTGAGAGAATTCACCAGAGACAGAGTGGGGAGCAGAGTAGGCAGATCTACGAAGTACACTGCTGAGGGGAGCAGCGGGTGGGTCAGGAGAGGTCTGCCGCGCCATGTGGGTCACTTCCTGGGCGGGAGATTGAACTTGCACCAGACCAGCTGCAGCTGGCTTCCAGTGCTAAGTTCTAACCCATTGTGCCACCAGAAAGGACCCTCAAGGTTTTGTTTTTATGTGTTCCTTTGCTTTGTTTCTCAGTAGCCTACATATGAATGAAATTATCCAGATTTTTCTTTTGTCCTCTGCCTTATTTTCACTTATAATCCCCTCTAGCTCCATCCATTATTGTCCCAAATGGTCAGATTTCATCGTTGCTTTTTGTTTTTTTTTTTAAATATTTGGGTAGTAATCCATTGTGTTTATATAGTATATATTCTGTAGACACTCATCTGTCATTGGGCATTTAGGTATTTCCATAACTTGGCTATTGTAAATAGTGTTACAATGTACATAGCTGTATATAAATTCCTTTGAATGTTTTTTGCATTCTACAGGTAGTTACCTAGGAGAGGATTTCTGGATCAGATAGCACATCTATTGTTAATATATTGAGAAACCTCCATATTATTAGTTACCTAGGAGAGGATTTCTGGGTCAGATAACACATCTATTGTTAATATATTGAGAAGCCTCCGTATTATTTTCTAGAAAGATTGTACTAGCTAACATTCCATCAACAATGTACAAGGGTTACTTTTCTTCCACACTCTTAGTAATACTTGCTGAGAAAGCTTTTGGTAAGATACAACATCCATTTATAATGAAAACACAATAAAATGGGGTTAGAAAAACATACCTCAACATAGTAAAGACCAGTGTGACAAACCCACAGCTAATATCATACTCAGTGGTGGAAAGCTGAAAGCTTTCCCACTGAGATCAGGCAAATGAGAAGGAGATCCACTCTACCAATTGTACTCACCATAGTATTGAGAGTCATTTCTAGAGCAATTAGGCAAGAAAAAGGAATAGAAGTAAGGCACATTGGACAAGAAAAAGTGAAGCTGTCACTATTTGCAGATGATATAGTAACATACATGGAGAAACCTAAAGACCGACCCCACTAGAAAGCTATTAGAAACAATAAATCAATACAGTAACGTGCAGCCTACAAAATCAATGTGCAAATGTCTGTGTGGTCCTACATACAACAATGAATTAGAAGAGAATTCACCAGAGACAGAGTGGGGAGCAGAACAGGCAGATGGACTGAAACACACTTCTGAGGGGAACAGCGGGTGAGTCAGGAGGGCTCTACTGTGCCCCGATTTTTTTTTTTTAAGCAACAAAAACTCAAACTGCACAATAAGGAACTTACTACAAAATGTCTTCATCGAATTTAATATTACATATCTTCTCACAGAATTTTTTCAACAGCTAATTTCTTACACTGAAGAGCTCCGACACGTACCGCTGCTGAAACTCTGGCTTGGGCCTGTACCTGTGGTTGTCCTCTATAATGCAGAGAATGTGGAGGTATGTGGTGGAGGTGATCAGCAATCCACTGCTTATTTGATGACATGAGCGTCTCCTCGGGATAAATGTGTATTGTAGTGTATTGAATTGACTTCAGTACCCTGAGTATTCCATGAAGTATGTTAGGTTCTGTGGGCGAATATAATACACTCTAGATCCTCTAAATCCTGCAGAGTCGGCCCTCCCTGGTGGCGCAGCGGGTTAAAGCACAGCACTGAGAATCTAAAGCCACTTCCGCATGAGTTCGATTCCCGCCTGCCCTGAAGGTGACCACATGGCGTGGCAGACCTCTCCTGACCCACCCTCTGCTCCCCTCAGCAGTGTACTTCGTCAATCTGCCTGTTCTGTTCCCCGCTCTGTCTCTGGTGAAGCCTCTCACCACCCCTGAGCCTCTGGCCTGTACCCCAGTTCTGTATGCACAAATAAAGAAATCTTTAAAAAAAAAAAAATCCTGCAGTCACTTGTTCTAGAGATCTGTGTGGATTTGACCCCTTTTCTGTTCTCCTTTTTGAAAAGTTTGCAGGGTTATTCCAGAAGGTGAGCACATGGTATCTGCCAGCACTGTTTTTGTTTTTTTTTTCTTAAAAATTTATGTATTTATTCATGCGGAACTAGGGTACAGGCCAGAGGTGAGGGGGTGGTGAGCGCCTTCACCAGAGACAGAGTGGGGAGCAAAACAGGCAGATCGACGAAGTACACTGCTGAGGGGAGCAGTGGACGGGTCAGGAGAGGTATGCTGTGCCATGTGGGTGGGGATTGAGCTCATGCTGAAGTGGCTTTAACTTCTTAGTGCTGTGCTTTAACCCACTGTGCCACCAGGGAGGGCCCTGCTAGGCACTGTTTTAAGATTATAAAACTCTAAGACTGGCAAATTTTTCTTCCCACTGTTTCCTTTATTCTTCTTTCCCTTTCTAATAAATCTCAAAATAAAGAAATAAAAATATAAGGCTGATAAAATGTGACTATCTCTCCAAGGGCTCAGAGTCTCATGGTATATCTCTGGGAATGTGCCACCCTAAATTAGCTTTTCTAAATAGGAATGCAGATATGCTACTGGTAGGACAGGTACTATTAACCTATACTATTGACTACTATACTATTAACCTATACCCTTAAAAATAATATATATTTTGCTTATTATGATGATACTGAAGAAATTATCTGTGGTTGCTGAAAAAAGGAAGTGAACATGGACAAACGGTTTCTCATCATGGAACAAAAACAAAACTGAAAGTTTCTAGGGAACAGTGCTGGGTCGTCTTTCTCACTGTGGTGAATATGTTGGCATTTCTTTTGTACCACATGTGGACCCTGGTTCAGAGTCATTAGTGGGGCACCAGACAAAGATTTCAGTTATCGGCCTCTGGTACATAGGTTAGGTAGGGCTCAGTGGGCAGTGTTCTGCCCAGAGAGGGAGCTCAGCAAGAAACCTGGGCAGCATTTTGTGTTCCGATGTCAATGCTCATCCACAGAATGCTCTTCTTCACTTTGAGACCAGGTACCAAATCATACCTTGGCTTCCATGTTACCTGTCTACAAGAGTGGGTCTGCCAGAGACACTCAAAAGTCTACCTCCAACTTGAGCTTTAATCTTGAGCTTCATATCTGCTTTCAGACCAGGGAAGCTTGAATGCTTCCAAGGATACATGACTTTGTGAGTCTCGTCTCCCTTGAGGATTCCTCCCTGGATTAAGCTTCTCTATTCCCCAGTTATCCTCACCTTTGATAAATGATTCCACTTGGTTTCTAATTCATGGAAGGGCATTTTCGTGGCCATCTTCCCTTCTCTCAATTCTATTTGGCCTCCAAGACTGAATCATGGTTATATTTCAGACTTTTAACTGAATTCCTTTTAAGTATAAGAATAAAAGTAAATCACAGAGAAATAACTATTTTTCAGTTGCTTTAAGAAGCAACAGTTGCTTAAGGAAGTCACTGAGTTCTAACGAGTATTCTTATCATTGATATTGTTTTGATAATTGTTCTCTCTTTCTAAGGTAATTTTAACTAATTCAAGGCAAATTGACAAGTCCTATATGTACAAATTTTTAGAACCTTGGCTTGGCCTAGGACTTCTTACAAGGTATGTCAATGTCAATTTGTAAAGCTGCTTTGTAGGTTAATTCAATATATCATAAACTGGCACAGGTTGTTCTGTAGCAAGGCTGTGCTGTCAGAAAGTAGGAGAGAGGCTGGAAAGCAAGGTCAGGCTAATAGGCCTTTGGAGTCCAGGTGTAAGGTGATTTCCAGCCAACATCTTCAGTAATGACAATAACCTGTGTGCAAAAAGAATTGGGAGGTCCTGGTGGGTGAATGGAGTGAAGCAAAGGAAAGTTTGTAGCAGGAAGTCTAGAAAAGCTAATAACAAGGCGGTCAGCCTCAGAGAAGACTGAGTCAGAACCCCCAACCCTTGAGCTCACACCAGGTTGGGACCCCACACCCTGTGTGAGCATACTGAGCAAAGGCAGGGCCGTCGTGGCGACTTCAGAGAACTAAAGATAATGGGGAGCAACACAGAATCAGGGAACATGGGTATCATCTCAGCACTAAGATATTGATATCTGAGGAAAACAATTTTATTTTTAGAAACTCGGGGCTCAGAGATTTGTAAAAATTAATTTTCATGTTCTTTCATGAGCCAGTAATAAAAAACATTATCCATAATATCTACATTCTGTAACTACAGATGACTCCTTGTATTTTGGATTAAAACATTTTAAAAAATGCAAATTAAGCTATTTTAAGAGGTTTTTGCTGACATCACTCTATATTTACTTGATTTGCTTCAGATGATGCTTCTCTTTTATTTGTCACTGTGCATTGTTTTCTAGTACTGGGAACAAATGGCGTGCTCGCAGAAAAATGTTAACCCCCACTTTCCATTTTACAATTCTGGAGAACTTCTTAGATGTCATGAACGAACAAGCAAATATATTGGTTAATAAGCTTGAGAGACATGTGAACCAGGAAGCGTTTAACTGCTTCCCTTACATCACGCTGTGTGCCTTAGATATCATCTGTGGTGAGTCTCGCTAGTGTAAAGACAATGTGACAAGTGGAAAAAGCCTACAGTTCAGGGACAGGCGGGAGGGGTGGAGAAGACACTGGATTCTGCAGCGTGGTCCTAACTGCTGAGTCTATGCCGGAGACTGCAGCCATGCCCAGGGCTGAGGGCAGAAGGGCACAGAGCCCACCTGCCGGGGGAGCAGGGAAGAGAGAGCAGGAGCAGGGGCAGCAGGGGCAGGGGCGTGGGGGGAGGGGCCTGCCACAGTCCATAAGAACCAAACTGACTTATGTCTTTTTTGGGTCAAGCATCTGCCTCTGGAGAAGAAACACAAGAAACGTGCAGGGATTGAATGTTTGTTTCTCACCGTATTTTACAGAAACTGCTATGGGGAAGAATATTGGTGCCCAAAGCAATGATGATTCCGAGTATGTACGTACAGTTTACAGGTAAATGGAAGCCTTTTGTTTGTTTTTAAAATTATATGTGGTTTGGGATTAAAAAGTTACTACTGAGAATTTCTTTTTGTGTTGTATCTTTTCTCAAAGTTTTATAACAAACACTAGAGGAAAAATTAGTTCAGTTAAGCAGGGATTTCAACAATAGAGGAATGGCTGATATCTTGAGCTATCACCTTATGATAATGAGTAAAAAAGATAGATGTAAACAATATTTGTGGTATGATTACTGTAGGTAAAAATTATTTAGAGAAAAATCGAGAAGATATCCTACCAAAATATTTGCTGAGGTCATTATTGTTTTGTTTGCATTCTTCTCTTATTGTGTTTTTATTTGCTCTTCATTCTCCTTTTTCATATTTTCAGCATATATTATTTTTCAATCTATATAATCACTGTTCTTAATTGCTTCTTATTATTCAACTATGAAGAGGTGGGGCAGGATTTAACTAGATGTATCCTGTCTAAGTCCACTGCATATTTATCACTTGGATAAATAATTATTGAGCACCTATTATTCCTTTAGTGTATAAAGTACTAACTAGTTTTATCGTGGCACACAGCAGACAGGGATTGAAACAAATAAATATGAACAGCTTTTATAGTCAATGCTTAGAAAGAAATATCCAATTTGATCTCTTCAGTTTGACATTTATATCAAATAATAAGGCCTATGCTTTGGGTGGCCAGAAAGGCATTTTGAGAATTGGTATCTAAACTGGACATAAAAGATGAGATCAATAACAAAGAGACATTTCTGCCCAGCCCTGGAAATGAAGAGGGATTTGCTCAGCACTCAGTGTCACAGATGGGCACTCAAAGAGGAATTTTCTGTACATGAGCCTAGGCAGTTTTTTTGTGTCACATCTGAGGAGTTAAGGAGTTATCTATGAGGTATCAGTAAGGACACACTGACAGGGGGCAGACCACCTCTTGGGGATGATTTTTATCACAGGGAAGTTGGAACTCTCCTGGAGAAACAGAAACAACCACCTAGTCAGGAGGTTTTAGAACAGATTCTTCGTTCCTCTAAAGCTGGTGTCCTTCCTAGCTTCACTGAATGTGTAATAGCAGTCCATACCTAGCTCCCTGAGCATGAGTCATGGGTCCTGAGTATGTTCTAAGACAAATCGTTATCATTCCCTTGCTTACCCTCACTGAGACCAGGCACCAAGTGGGTGCTCAAGAAATGCACGGGGGATGTGTCACTGAGATGCTTTCATCCTGTCTGTAGGATGAGTGATGCGATACATCGGAGAATGAAGATGCCGTGGCTGTGGCTGGACGCTTTGTTCTTTTTGGTTAAAGAAGGAAGGGAGCACAAAAGGAGTCTAAAGATACTGCATGATTTTACTAACAATGTAAGTTCTCATTTTTTTCTTGAAGCAAAATTTACAAAATCTAACATGGTAGCCATTTAAAATCTACAATTTGGTAGCATCAAGTGTATTCATTATCTTGTACAACCATCATTGTTACCATTTCCAGAATGCTAAGTCCCTGATTTTTATGTTCTGTTAAAGCACCCAGTGTGGACCATGGAGTGTGTGTCTCACTGAGTAATACTTATACCTTGGCTACTGTAAACAGTGCTACAGTTAACACAGGAGTGCAGATTTCCTTGTCAATTAGTGTTTTTAGGTAGATTCCAGAAATTTCTGGGTCACATGGTAGATCTTTTTTTAGGGTTTTAGAGGGGGCTCCACACAGCTTTCCATTGGTAGCAACATGAAGCTGGAAGGGATTATGCTAAGTGAAAGAAGTCAGAAGGAAAAAGATAAAAATATGTGGCATTTAGAGAAACAAAACAGAAAATTTGAAACTAGCAAGCTGACCTTAGATCTGAGGCATACAGCGAGGGAGGGAAAAGGGAGGGGGTGAAAACAGGAGAGGGAAGAGCACAAGGACTGGGGTGATGGGTCACAGATGTCATGATGGCGGGAGAACTATGCAGACTGTGCCTGAGAGGAGGAGACAAGTATACTGTCCCCAAATTAACACTAATGTAAGAAAATAAATGTAAACTATTTTTTAAAAAAGAATGGGGAGAAGCTCACAAAGGGAAAGCAATGTTGGGGTCCTGGCTGATGCCCCCCGGGGCCTTTGGAAAGGAGAGATTTGTTAGTAGTTGAGTCATGGGCATCTCTCTTTGGGATTCGGTGGCTCGGGAGGGTCTGCAGGTTAATGGAGAATGGCATGGGAAGTCCTTGAATGTGCAGCCCAATGCACAGTCATCTTTGGCAGGTGGCCCCCAGGTCATCGCCCAGCTCTGGGTTCCCAAGTCTAGACATGCTCCTGTCACCTGCTCCTACACTGCCTGTCTGGCCTGAGACAGGCCCCCACCACAGTTCCAGCAGGGGTCACCCATAGGAACCTTGCCAAATTTCTACAATAAACCAATTTTGCTGATCAGAATAAACAAACAAACAGTGAGCACAATATAATGTTAAGTATATGTGAAAAGGAAAAACAGAAAGCAGTCTGAGGAAGAGGGAGTATTAGGAACTATCATAGCAGTGATAGGGAAGGTCTTTGTGAGGGTGTGAAATGAGCAGAGACCTGAAAGGTGCCGGCATCTGAGGAGGAAGGCAACAAGGCAGCCACAGCAGGGTGGAAGACTAAGTGACATCGGCTCTCAGCTGCAGCACACCATGTGATTACAGCGACCTAGCATGAGTAGAGTACATTCTCCCCACCATGACCTAAACTTTTACTAGCCTCAAATCTTGTGGGTTCTAGCTCGTAAACTACTAATCCATTCTCTTATTGGAAAGACTGCAACACTTGAAAATTGTGATGTTTTTCCTGACAATAAATTTGTTAGCAAAATCTTACTGAAAATTGCTCTACCACATTAACACAATCATATATTTTCACAAGAATAAGTTATTGTTGAAAGAGAAATGAAAGGCTTCTAAAAATAAAGGAACGAGCGTGTTTTGATAGGAAGCTGTATTACTGGGTTGCATCCATTTCGAAACAAAGCATGTAACTGTTTACATCACACAGGTCATCAATGAGCGGGCCAGAGAAATGAGGAGAGAAGAAGAAAATCCAAGTGACCCCAAGGGCTCAGCCACCTCCTCTAAAAATAAGCGCAGGGCTTTTCTTGACTTGCTTTTAAATGTAACTGATGATCAAGGGAACAAGCTAAGTCACGAGGATATTCGAGAAGAAGTTGACACCTTCATGTTCGAGGTATTGCCTACTATGTTATTTCTAGGCATCATTAACAAATTCCAACTATAAAAGCTTCAATATCATTTTAAAAATTAATAAAAATGTAGTAGTATAACAGAGGAATTGTTATAATATTCTAATTAGAAAGTATAACATTGGAGCATCTGTTTATAGACCAGATCGACTTCCTTCTTCAGAAAAGGATTTTGACTAGGATGGAGACAACAGTGGGCATATTGTGTTTTCTCAGGAAAACTTCAGATCTGCCAGGCATTCATAAGTAGAAGAACAGCTAGGAATTGCTCTCTGTTCCCTATACTGCTTCCTGCTGCCTTTTGATTGCTGAAACCCATGATTCCCTCACTGCCTCCTGATTTGAAGTGCTTGCAAATGAGGGCTTAGCTACTGCTATGAGCTGTCCCTGCTCAGAGGTAATCATCCCACAAAGGAGAATTTCATCAGTTTGTGATTCTAGAGGGATTTCTGGTCTTCTAAGTAAAAAACAAGAAAAAAACATAGTACTTACTTACAAAGATGATGTTAGCTACATTAAATATTACAAAGAATGAATTTCTCAATAGGTGAATTGGGAAACAGAGGTTCAGATATAGACATAAAAAGCAGCATGAGTTGGGTGATTTGGTGATGGGAAATCCAAGGGGATTGCAACCAAGATGGAAAAATGCACAAAAATATGTAAAAATAAACTATTATAAAATTAAAAAAAAACAGAAAGGAATAATAAGAACAAAAAGCAGCATGTGGTAATGCCAAGGATGGCTCTGGCAAGCTAGCCTAGAAAGGCCACCTTTCTTCCCCTTAAAATTTGAGGACACCTACTTTCCTCCAGTGTCTCCTGATAGCCTGGTCATTCCCATTCCTTTTGCCAAATATGCAACTCTAGGCAGAACTGAACTGTCTCTCTAAGTGTGCACCTCCAGTTTGAAGGAATTATTTTATTTCTCGCTGAGATGACATACTACACAGAATTAGTCTCCTACATTCTGCAGTCACAATGCAGTTGTCAAACCCAGAAACACTTCAAAATGGAGTTATTTGCTAATCTTCTCAGGATAGCCCTTAAACTATTTTCCTTCCATTTGTAGGGCCATGATACAACTGCAGCCGCAATAAACTGGTCCTTGTATCTGCTGGGCTCTTACCCAGAAGTCCAGAGAGAAGTGCACAAGGAGCTGGAGGCAGTGTTTGGTATGGCGGGCCCTTCCTCGGCACAGTCGGTCGGAGGCCGCTGAGTCAGCGCTGTTCTCCTCAGCGGGATGTGCAGAGGGTCCTGCTCTAAAGATGCTGCGATGGCAGAGACCCCACGGGGACCCCCTCCCCTACCTGTGCCCTCTGTCTCCCGCACGCACTTACAGGCCTTGGCTTATGACCCCATCCCTCAAACCCCTATGCTGTCATATTTGTTCACTCACAATGTTGTGCGACACCACCCCTACCTCATTCCAAACATTTCAGCACCCTCAAAAGGAAACCCTGTGCCATTAATCAGCCACTTCCCAAGCTCCTCTCCCTTAACACATGGAAACCACTAATTTTCCTTCAGCTTCCGTAATTATGTATTCTGACTGCTTCACAACACGTGACCATGTGTGTGGTTTCTTTTATTTAGCATACTGTCTCACTTTATCTTGCTAATGCAGACTATTAGAAATTCTAGTTAATCTGTAGCTATGTTTGGACTCTGACAGTCCAGCACCCAAGCCCAGCCCATCTCTTTCATTGTCTTCTCATGTATTTCCATAAATCAGGAAAGTCTGAGCGTCCTGCTACCTCAGAGGACCTGAAGAAACTTAAATATCTGGAATGTGTCATTAAGGAGACCCTTCGCCTTTTCCCTTCTGTGCCTCTATTTGCCAGACACCTTAATGAAGATTGTGAATTTGGTATGTGTTACGTAACAGAACAGTAGGGTGAAGGATGCTTACGTGTCTGTCTTGCTCCCTCACGGCATGTTCGTTCCTTCTCAACAGCGGGCTACCGAATCGTGAAAGGTTCTCAAGCACTTGTCATTACCTATGCACTGCACAGAGACCCCCGCTACTTCCCAGACCCTGAGGAATTCAAGCCAGAAAGGTTCTTCCCCGAGAATGCCCAGGGACGCCACCCGTATGCATTCGTGCCCTTCTCTGCTGGGCCCAGAAACTGTATAGGTTTGTATCCTCCCAGTTGGTTTAACCTTTTAGGACGTGGGCAGAGGGTTTCTCACAGCAATTTCTTTGCCAGATATGTTTCTTTGCAATGCTCTTAAAAATCTGCTGTCCTTTTCCCTCTGCTATACATTATTGTTTAAGACATTGCTGCGCATTGGTCTCCTAGGGCTTCCTTATCAAGGTGCTCTGAACTGGGTTTTGAACAACAAAGAGTGCTTGCTTACTTTGGGCTAGAAGTTGGACATGGTGGCTGCCCCTGACTACTGTCTTTCTGGCTCTAGATGGTGACCTTCCCCATGGTCCACATGATCTTTCTCTGTGTCTGTTTTGTGTCCTCTTCTTCTAAGGTTGTATGTCAAATTGGCACAGGGCCCATGCGTGTGAATTCATTTTAGCTTAGTTCCCCAATCAAGGTCCTGTCTCAGGTGCAGTAACATTCTGAGATGGAGTGGGAGGTTAGAAACCAACTTATGACTTGGTGGGGAGGGAGCCCAGGCCTCAAAAGAAGGCATCATCAGTTTCATGGTGAAGCTGAAAATGTGTATTTTGCGGTGAAGTTGCGCATACTTTATAGGAAAGAAAACTTTAAAATCATGGTTTGTTTTATTTCACATAACTTTTATGTTTGTTGCTTTTAGAAATAAATGTTGCCAATACAAAACAAAGAATGGTTACAATTTGGCCAGCTAAACTATTTAAGTAACTGTGCATTATCAACTTTGCTTTGGTGTCTCGAGCATTTGCCACATGCAGGCATTTGGAAAATGAAGCCAAATTTAAATAGGTGAATCAGAACTATGTTTGGTGGTCCTATAATTACCCCCAAAGGCTTGACAAGAAAGCCAACCAACGTAGTGATCCTTATGCTTTGATGAGACCTACCTAGGTTCGTGCGGGGTGCTATAAATACAGATTCCCTGCTCTACCCACTCTGTTCAGATGGAACACAAAGGGAGCTAAAGAATCTTCACTTTTAACAAGTTTCTCAGTTAGTGATTATCCCAGGAGCTAATGAGAATGTATAAAATATTAATAGATTAGCTCCTCCAAAAAGAGATGTGAGTTATATTTATAATTAAATTGATGGGAAGAGGAAGGAGAGGGTACAGAACGAAGGCGGGAAGAGCACAAGGGACTAAGATGATGGGGTACAGGTGAACTGGTGATGGGAATTACAGGGACTATACCTGATGTAAAATACATACAAATAAGTCAAACATAAAAATTGATAGTATTATTACATTAATTTGAAGGTCAGAAGTTTGCCATAATGGAAGAAAAGATCATCCTCTCCTGTATCCTAAGGCAGTTTTGGGTAGAATGCAACCAGAAACGAGAAGAACTTGGACTGGCAGGAGAACTGATCCTTCGTCCAACTAATGGCATCTGGATCAAGCTGAAGAGGAGAAACACCAGTGATACCTAACTTATCATTGGGCTGTGCCCTTATCATGAAAGAGGTCTTTTGTGAAGAAAAACTTACAATTTCCAGATCATGAGTTCAATATTCTTAATTCCTAGACCTAGGTTTTCTTGTCATCCCTTATCTTGGTGTCAAGGCAAGTGAACTTTTCATCACTGTTATAGATCTTACCCCTGTTCTTGATCCAAGGAATAGAGTTGACTGATATGGGGACCCAAACTAATATATCACAAGTTTCTGAACAGAGGCATCCCTGGAAAAATCAATTTCAATAGACAGACAAAGGATGTTATTTAATTGAAGTTCAGGAATTTCTAAGATGTTCTTACTGATTTGGAAACCTAAGTATACAGCTATAAATACACATTTAGTTTGAAAGGTGTGTATAATTACTTATATTTGAGTTTCAATTTCTTGAATTCTATCAGTTCTCATTAATTATGAGTTATTGTACATTTAATTTTAATCACATAGATTAATCATTTATATCTTGACTCATAGGTTCTGTTCTTATTTCCCTTTCGATTGTATATTTATGGTCTTCATAAAATCAGAATTACCTTAATGTGTCTTAAAGTATTGGGAAGGATTCCTCTTGGTAATCTCCAGTCCCACACAATGCCTTCTGGGGTTAATCAGTGATTTTGGGTGCCATAAGGACCTTAAAACATATCTTACTATACTCTCTTTACCACTTCAGGGACTATGATCATCAGCAATAAGGTATATTTCTTCCCAGATTCATGAAAACTAGTGGGTGACAGGGTTGAAAATATATGAAAGCTCTTTCCTCTAAATCTCTGCACTTCCATCTGGTATACTTTTTACTACAATCTGCTATTCTTTATGGGACTCATGTCTAGATGAGACACTGTGTTGATGAACACAGATCATCTACCTCTGTTCTTGGCATATATCTTCTAGTATTCTTCAGAGGAAGAGAAATCATTCTCCTAGATTCTCCTGAGTGATCTCTCTCTCAATTTAGGTTTGTACCACCAGTAAATTCAGTCCTCCAAGACATACAAACTGATAACTATCCCTCATTTTCACTCAAAACAATCTCTAGTTACTCAGAGCATTAAGCACTTTTTTTAATTGGTAATTTTAACAAGATTGTATCTTCAGTTTTCCTAAGATGTAGCAGAGAGAAGCAATAAAGGAAGAGGGTGGATTATGTATTCTTCATGACAATCAAAGAGACACAAGAACGAAGTCATGTGGCAAGTACTGCAGGCAGGGATTCTAGAAAGGTCAGCAGCTCCCCTCCCACTTTACTCTTTCAAAATCCCAAAATGCCTTGCTGTTGACCCTTTCTGCACCCCCGCCCTCCACACAAACTCCCCCCCCCTCCCCGGTCACTAAAGTTACTGAGAACAAGTGAAGGAAGTACCTAACACAACTGAACAGGATTCGCAGCTATGGTGAGCCTTGTTCTAGAATTGAATTATGTAGAAAATCTCATGTCCACATGACTTTGGATATTTGAGGCTCTATTCTGAGCAATCAGTGTTATCTCTCAATGTTATGCATTTACATTTAGTCTTTGCCACTTGTTTTATTTTTTTTAATTGAGTAAAATACTGCTTAATGTTATCTTTTGGCTTAAGATCTTCATTTCATCCCCAAATGATTTGTTATTTAATTGGAAATTCAGTTAATCCATTCCAGAGTTGAAATTGAGAAGTCATGTAATGGTCTGGCAGATTACAATTTATATGCTAATATTTTGTAACTAAGACTATAATCCAATTATGTTTCTATCTGTATGACTTGTTTTCCTCGTGATTGAAGGAGGCATATCAAGAAAAATAAATTACATTTTCATTATGGGTGCTGCATTTCATTCTAAGAATTGATGTCAGTTTGAAATAGAGGTAACTTTAAAAGATAAACTGGCAGGTAACTTGCTTAAAATGAGTAACAACAGAAATTGCTCTCTTGAATTTGATGTCATCAAGGCCACCTACACTTTCTAACAAAATGTTCCTTTTGTCATTATCCTGGACTGATTTTGAGTTTCTTTGACTGGAGAATAAATTAAAGGAGAATTAGAAGTACAGAGCATTCTGCCTAGTTGTTAGCAGGAGGCCAAATCTCCTAGAATTACTTAGGAATCAGCTGAAACCATAAATATCATTAGGTCCAAGGGATTGACAGTGTAGAAATCTCTCCAGGTGACAGTCTAGAGAGTTGATGCTGTGTTCACTGTCATAAACAATGAAGGATGTTAGTTTCTGGGCCAACTCACCTGTCTCACAATTGAAGAGATGATGGTCTTAAAAATTACCAAGTTTTTTACCCTGAAATTTATATAGATCTCAACTTATTTCTTTTCAGCATTTAATGAATGCATTTAATGAATGCTGAAAAGATACATTAAGTTTTTTAGTTTGCCTCCTTTTTCTAGGAATAGTGTCTTCTTTATTTTTGGACCATTCTGTGATAAAACACAGTGGAGAGTGGTGGAGAGACGGTGGTAGTGTAACTGGGTGGTCCCCAGGAAAAGGGCAAGTTCCAGATTCCCCGCCACACCCAGAAGGAGGGTGGAGCTGAACAGAGAAAAGAAGAGAAGAGAAGGAATCAGAGGAGGAAGGAAGCTGGATGAAGAGCCAGGAGACCTGAGGAAGCCACATGGAACAAAGGGAGACATGTGAAGAAACCATGTTTATTTCTTGGCCTGTACTGGTTGAAAGAGATGTGGGTGAGAGACCCATAGGGATGTTGACTATGGCAGTGTTTATATTGATTTTGATTGTGCTCTTTTCCTCCCAGACTTGTCTGGCCATGTCTGACCCTTTTCCATGGGTCCCGGCCAGTAGGTTCTTTAGTCTTGTGGCAGCTTTCAGGCCTTGCTTTGGGCCCATCCCTTTTGGGTTGACTTTTGCCCATGAGGGGATGGGTAACTTCAGGTGTTTGATTTGGAATTTATATTCTTTGTCTTCTGTATTGTATACTCACTGTATTAAAGTTCCTTTTCATTAAAGTCTTATATGTTTTGTATTGATGTGGCAGAACCTATTTAGTGCAGGCAGGTTTGGGGGTTCAGGAGTGCCCCCTCTTCCTGCCCTGTAAAAGTAGCAGATGTCATTTAGCCGCGATGCTTAAGGATGGCATCTTGTGTTTTCCATTGTTCATCTTCCTTTTAAAGATCCTTAAAAAATACCTTAATTTTACACTCTCCTTCCAGATACTGCCACCCAGATACAAGGGCAGTGACAACTGTTGTGTTAAAAAAGCTTTGGGCCCTCCCTGGTAGTGCAACAAGGTAGGACGCAGCATGGCAAGCTGGCCACATCAGCTTCAGTGAAAGTTCGATCCCTGCCCCGGAGGTGTCCACATGGCCCGGCAGACCCCTCCTGACACGCCCC